GACCCTTCAGTCCGCAGGCCAACGCTCTATCCACTGAGCCAAACCATTAGGGTGAGAAATTTATCTTTAAACACACAGGCAATCCCATTAAATATAACTTTTAAATGTTTTGGAAAAAAAGTTATTACTGGGGCCAGCTCAGCTTTAGGCAAAAATCATGAAACCGGTGAACATTCTCAAAGGCCCCTCCTGTAGTCCGGGGCCGCTGGTCAGAGATGCCTCCAAGTTCTGGTCGGCCATGAGCGATGGCTCCCACGTGTCCTGTGAGAAGGCACAGAGCTACCAGCAAGGAGGGCTCCTGGCTGCTCCTCCCGCCCTCGCTCCCTGGGCAGCTCCGCAGTGAACAGTGCGTGCAGGCCACCAGAAAGGCCCGCAGGCATCTTTCTCCCGCCTGGGCTGCCGCTCGTTTGCACTCCTTTGCAGGCTGACAGCTCCTCGCTTAGGTGTTTTACTTTCAAATCTCAGTTCTTTCTGTCAAGGTAGCTCAGTGTTTTTGTTTGAGGAGGCTTGGACCAGAACACACGCACGTTAGTGTCAAGCAACTCACAACTCGCCTTCGTTCATTTCCGTTAAGGGGTCAGGAGCCATCACTCTGCTCCTGGTCACAGTCCTGTCTTGTGGGCAGTTGCCTCCTGGGGACACGGGAGCCTGGCCAGTGGACAGGCTGCCCTGAGCACCTTCGCTGGTCCGGCCGGGAGGTCAGCCAGGCTGTCACGCACACAGACGTGTCAGGCGGGAAGGTTGGAAGGGAAGTGATTCTGACAAGCACTGCCCTCCCCCAGGGCCTGCGAGGAGCGGAGGCTGCTGAGCCCCAGGGATGAACTGTGCTCTGATGCGAACCTCTCAGTGCAGGTCACCTCCCAGCAGAGCCCCGTCCCCGCCCCCCCATGCCCCCAGGAAGCCAAGGAAGCAGCTCATCTTGCTCCTCAGGGGCGGGGGCGACACAACTCAGTGGTCATCTCTCGGAGACCAGGCGCCGGTGTGTCCTGTGCAGGCAGAGCTGGCCGGGCCGTTTCTTGGGAGGGAGCCCTGCAGTGGGAGGGCCATCAGGACCTGGAGATGCCGCGGGGGCGTCCTATTGTGATTTCAGGGTGCTCGGGAAGGGGCTCCGCGCCAACCAGCAGTGCGGGGTGACGATGTGGGCCAGCGATGCCCACCGCCGGCTCGGGCCCTGGTCCAGCATCTGCCGGGCAATTGGCAACTGAGGTGCCCTGAAGGGAGACACCCAGCTCCGACCTCAGATGGCGTCCAGACGGCGCCCAGGAAGCTGCTCTATCTTTGGGCCATCTCAGCCCCGACCCCAGAGCCCAGCCAGCTTTGGGCAAAGGAGATGGACTCACGGCTTTGGCTGTCTTCCCCACGCCCTGCCTAAGCTGTTTCTGCCGTCTCAGAGGAAGGATGCCCAGAGGAGGAGCGGCTGTTCTGTGTGTGTGTGTCTCTCTGTGTGTGTCTCTGTGTGTGTCTCTGTGCGTGTATGTGTGTGTGTCTGTGTGTGTCTCTGTGTGTGTCTGTGTGTGTCTCTGTGTGTGTCTGTGCGTGTGTGTCTGTGTGTCTCTGTGTGTGTCTGTGTGTGTCTGTGTGTGTCTGTGTGTCTCTGTGCGTGTCTGTGGTAGGAAGAGGTGTGCATATCAGATGCAATGTCCTGTTTGTTTCTGGTTTGCCGCAGTCCCCACTGCTCTCTGTTACGGCACCGAGTTCACTGTCCCATCTTATATGCTGAGTCCCTGAAAGAACTTGACTTTGTGACCCCCCGAGAGACCCCAGCCTCCTAGGCCACCCTCACACCCCTCGTTTAAAAGCCTACTCTTTGGAAGACATTTAATTTTGGTTATTTACCTTTTCGGTGAAAATCAAGCCCTTTTCTTTCTCCCAAGTATTGCCTACCTCTAATGACCCTTTATTCTAAATCTAAAACAAATGGGTTTAGATCTTCCCACTTTTTTAACATGAGGAGTTTGTCTCT